GGTTGGTTTCCTCAGCTGTTTTTTGGCACATAGTAGCATTAAATTTGACATTACGTTGTAGATGGTTCCATTCCGGTCTGGGAAGGGCAGTATAAAAAGCTCAGGACAGATTTGTAGCCTCTGCTGACTTCCTGCAAGATGTTGGCTACATCACTTCAGTATTTCCACAGATTACCTCATCAAAAGGCAAACCAGCCGTTCTCCTGTGGAAGGAGGGAGCAAGGAGCACAAAGCATTGCTACCAAGCCACCTTCACGTCACGTTTTGCAATACATGTTCAATACCTCAGAAAGCCGTCAACTCAAGAGTGGAAAGTATCACACACAGAGCACTGGAATTGGTCCAGGAACTCTGGCCGAGGACCTTGAAACAACTCCTTTCTTTTCTGAAAATCTGTGCTGGGCCATTACATCTAAGGGCCATAGTTTTTAGATCACCAATCTGCAAATCAACCTGCTCTGCAAGTATGGACGGGTGAGATACACCTTGTCCTGTAGAGCCACAGGCATGAGCCATAGCCATTGCCCTTCGCAGCGCACTGGCCATCCCCTTGACCAGAAAATGCTTTACACTGTAGCAGGGGGATAGGGAAGACACGAAGCTGGCTAATCCTGAGCTGTCTGGCAGTTCCAAATGCCTCTAGTTATCATTTCTTTACATATGGCCCTGTCCTCACTACATAGCTGCTTAAATTCAGGCTGAAGTTTGAAATAACCCTGGTTAACCAGATAACCCCTTCTCATTGAAACCTGCTTCCCAAACTGCTCTGCAAGATGTTCAGACACACAAAGAGCTGCTGAACAGAGCAAGCTTTCTCTGAAGTTTTTGAAATGATGGGGAGTGAGCAAGGCCAGGACCTGGAGAAGGTAGTCAGAAGCGTGACAGAGCATCCCACTGTGCTGCACCTTCATCTGACCAGTCTAATTAAATCGTACAGACGACAGATGTAGAAGTAACTAGGCAGTTCATCATCACCTCACTATGAGGCTGGGAAGGTATTGCCTTTCCTAGCCAATATGCCACCAGGGAGGAGACTGTGCGCTCTGACAGACGCCATTCACACCAGCAACATCAACAGGAAAACAAGAACATTTTGCTGCAGGAAGTCATTAACCACTTCTGTGCCAGCACCAACTTCGCCAATCCAACTTCTCAAAGGGATTTAACTTCATTTTCTTTTTGTTTGAAATGTCCTATCACGCCTACAGAATGTACTTAGGGAAGGATGGTAACATGTGCTTGAACATCTTTAATAGTCTGAAGAAGTGAGTGCTGCATTACCAGAAAAGAGATGAGGTCCCTAGTGAATTATGTAGATCACCTCAGAGCACTACAAGTAAGACCATTAAACTGGTGTGCACCATCATCTATTTTGTGTATGCCTTCCATATAAGGGAGGAAACCTCTCTGAAATTACTGAAAGGAAGGTTTAAACATTTTATTGGTGCCCTTTGCCTGCCAACTCAGGTTATAAATCAACAGTCAACAAGGGTTCAGGAAGAAAAAAATCGCTACCCAATGCTTAAAAGCACCTCTGAAACATACCTGGAGCTGATTTTTCTATGCATAAAAACCCCATGATCTGAAAGCCCTCTGGACCTAAGAGATGTAGAAATCAATTGAACTCCCTGCTGGAACACTTCCAGTCTTGGGCAGCTCCTGCAAACCCATAAAGCCACAGAAAAGCAGACCCAGAAAATGTCAGACAAGGCTTGATACAAGCTGTCATGGACACCGTGTCCTAGTAATTTAGAGGATGGATGGGGTGGGTGAATGTATGGGGGAAGAAATGACATACCTGAAGGAAAGGAGAAAACATTTTTGTAATAAACCAATTTGATTTTTTTTCCTTAACACATTTTGAAGCATACCTTTGAAACTGCTACAGTCTGCAATATTAACATAGCTCTGAAAGGAGTAAGTTACTGAGCAGAATACTGACGAAGCAGTCAGAAAAGCACAAGACTTAGCATTTAACATTTGTCCCTGCCAGTTATTCTCATCAGAAACAGAAGAGCATGAAAGATTTTTCTTTATTGGGAGGAAGGTTACACTAAAAGTTGCTAAGGGAAAGATGCTCAAGGGTCTAATGTTTTTGTAACATGCCATCTCTTCCGTATTCTGCTCTGCTCTTTTTGTATTCTGCCATTTGGGGACAGACAGCAGTCAAGGATGTTTTTGCAGTCTTCTGTGCTATGTGAAGTTAATTTAGTACAGAAAATTTTCCACTCCTTATTCATTTCAATTTTCACTTCTCCATGAAAAGTTTAGTTTTCTTCATGTAGTTTTCTTCCCCATATTAGGGCAAGAATTCTGTTTTTGAAAGAAATAAGATCTCTGCTTGGAAATAAAAAACTTTCTAAGTTAGCAATGTGAACTAGAAGGACTGACAGATTGAAAACTTGTGTAAATACAACACATTAAGGTTGTTTCAGAGTTACTGCAGCTTGTTACTGTGTTTGTTAGATAATGAGCATATGTACCTGATCAAATTTTGCCCAATAGGAAACTGTTCACTTTGTGCAGCTCTGGTACACACATGCACACACACAAGCTAAGCGAGAACCATAACAGAAAAACCTGATCAGTATGACTGGAGAATGAACAGGAACACAGCAGCATGGAAAGACCAGAAGGAAGAGCAGAAGGGTTATTGAAAATGGCGCATTATTGGCACTTAGCTTAGCGGGTGACTAAGATCCCAGTACAGTTACGTGCAGCTTCTCAGGACACCCAGGTTGGGAGACAAAAATGAATAAATCCTAATGACTCACAGAGATGTCGCAGAACAGGGAGACTGATCACAGCTAGCTTCCAAAGGGTACAAAACAGCACTTCCAACCTAAGAAGAATGCAGACAACGCAAGGAGGATGCAATAGCTAGCATCCCTTATCCTCCATGTCTTCACAGAGCATCCCTGACAGACCTCTTGGACACAAGCATCTTGGTGCCTGAATGCCAGGCAGACTCATGCATTTGGGTGATTGTAAGCCTGTGGATTCAAAAGTGTGAGAGAAGGAGAAGTTTTAAAATAGTCTGTCCCCTCCCATAAGGTTTTGCACTGACACTTACAACAACGTAGAAATAAGCATTGCAAGGTCCCAACTCAACCGTCATATCCTGCATTCCTCTTGAAAGAAGCACAAAACATTTTTGTTTCGTTAGAATTCCCTGCCCTTTAAGATAGGTGGATCCTGAAAATGTCAGACCTTCTACCTCACGCTGTATACCCAGGAGACCATCTCCAAGTTGCCCAGTGCTGCATCAAAATTAACAATCATAACATACTTCTCTGAGTGAGGACATTAGTCTTGTATTTTATGTAATTTCTGTGGCTGAATTATTCCCCATAATCTCCATTTTGAAGATAACAGTAAAGCAGTCTTTGCACCATTTCTTTAGGATCCTGTGGAAAAGAAACGATGTTAGTGCAACGCAGTGGAGAAGGCTGGAATGGTAGAAATGACTCTGACACCATTGTGTATCTGCCCAAGGAAACAGGGATGTACAGGCAATGCTGACCACGAAGCTAAAAACTCCTTATACTCTATGGTAAAATCATTCTGATGCGAGATATTAAAATCTTAAAACATTAAAGAAATGGTGAAGAAGAGCAAACTGCAGATTAATCCTTAATTGCTTTAAGGACAGTAACTTTCACTGTAGTATTTTTTTAAGCTTACTTCAGGTAGTAGAGTTTTTATGGGGAGAGGGATGGGCGGGTGTCTTTAACACTTCCAGGTCTATTATGGGGTTTTTTGAAGCAAATTATTTGGACCCCTGCTCCATGACAGGATTCTACTCCTAGATGAGTCACTGTCCTCCATCAGGCTGCTAGGTCAAGTTTCCAGGAGGCATCATCTTCAGCACTGCACTCAAGCACCACCTCTGTCACACATTGAGGAGCCAGAGTAACGAATAATAAAATTTTTTTATTGTTACTTTGTAATATAAATTTAAAAAATCCAGGATTCCAAAGTAAGGGGCATTTAAAAAAACTGAGTAAGAGGAATGTAACATAACTAAGTCATATTTTAAAACAAGGAGCCACAAGAATCTTTTCTAAATGCCTTTTCCTGCGATACATCTCTTCCACAGCTCCATCTCAAACTGACATTTACGTAGCCTGGTATTTGACTAGTGCTAGGACAGTCGGAAAGAATGGTACACTTGTTATCATCCACATGCTAGTGCGGGAGTGAAATCTTAGTCCATACAGGTGAAAGGGTACAGAGTCAATAAAACCCTCTAGTGCAGGACATGGATTAAACACTTTCTCTTCTTTCTGGCTTTAACGTCACAGAGCAGGACTCCTGAGGCAGGGGTTTTCAAGGCCAGGCCAAGGTGGAGGGCCTCCTCCTGGCCCAGAGAACATTCTGCACTGCAGGCAGCCTGAGAAAGAAGTACACATACAGCCCCTCGTGCCACCAAACACAGCAGCACTTCCAGTATGTTCTTTTCAGGGACACAGATGCTGGCAGTGGCCACAAGGAACAGTGTGTTAGGCTGAGGCAGGAAGTCTCATCAAGGAGCTGCACAATGAGACAACCACACCACTGGGATTTTCTAGAAAAATAATTACCTGTAATACACATTGGGTATGGCATGAGAGTCCCAAACAGCTGCTGGGCCTCCTGTCAGCAGCTGGATTAATCTTAAGCATATGCCCTGCTTCTTCCCCAATCACAAGTTCAACAATTCTGTCCTTCCGCATGGAAAACCAACAGTGAGTAATTGAAAACAAAGCTACCCATACTGGTCTTGTGAGCTGTTCAGGCTCTTCCATACCCCAAGAATGCACCAAGCCAATTGACCAAAAGGGACATTTGAATAAGATCTTCCTTCCCCACCAGGAAGTGAGATCTTCTTCAAACGTCTCCTTCAGTTCCCGCCAGGAAGGAAGGCATTTTACTAGTAACAGGTCCAGGTGACCCTGCTGGCAGTCCAGCTTACACAGTCCCACTGGATAAGCCTGCAACCTCCTCTATCCTCTCTGAACTCACTGGCCTGGCTTCGCATTTGCTGGGCTTTGAAGCGCCTGCCTGAAGACAAGTTTTTTCAGCTGATGCAGTTTATTGTCTCTTAAGGCATCCCGTATGGCACTGAAGAAACTGAAGTAGTGCTGGAAGTTGTGCATCATGAGCAGGACACCGGCCAACAGCTCATTGGTCACGAGGAGGTGATGGAGGTAGGCGCGAGTATGCCTCTGACAACAGTAACAGGTGCATCCTTCCAGCAAAGGACCAAAATCATCTTGGTATCTAAGGAGGAAGCAACGTTGGATAACATCAAAGGTAAGAAGACCTATTCAAGCAATGAGTATCCAGTTACTACATGGCCTTTTGCAAGGACCTGAATCTTGAAGTCCTGAGGGCCTGAATCCAGCTGCTGCAAGATGTGTTGACATCTAAGACCAGCACCACTGGCATGAAGGACTTCAAATATCATGCCAGAACTCACTACAGAGCCAAAAAGGCTACACATCTAAGTCAGAGGATAACTTCGACTACATCACAGCAGAAAGAGGCCTTATCTGTGCCTTCCCTAACAGGAAAGCTGCAGCACAAGACACACCTCGCCAGCTATCACACAGTCTATGAAGGAGGAAGCTATCAGAAACAAGGATTTACTGATTCCACTATTCACAAAACCGTATTTCCCTCTACTGCGAGATGCAACATCCTCACAAAGTGGACAGAGGATCGAGCAAAGCAACACAGTTGTCTACTCGGACAGCCTAGCGGTAGCTGTGGAAAAGAGAAGGAAGGACAGGTGGTAACACTGGCCAAAGTTTTTGTGCAGTATCCAGAAACTCCAGAATTGCTCTGCAGCTGCCCAAACTGAGTTAGAAAGTGGAGGCTCACATAGTTTAAATAAAATCTAGCATCTCAAAATGACCCAAGTTAGATGTGGAAGACCAAAATGATCCCCAGACAACCTTTGTGAACCTACTGTCTTTCAGCTGGAACATAGTTATGACCACAGTATGTCCACTGGATAAACGATCAGAAAATCCCTGGCTTTAGGTCAGGCAAAAGACAGTGCTTTCAGCCATACACTGTTGCCTGATAACAAGCTAGAACGCTTGTCCAACACTCTCCATTCAATGTCCAGAAGTACTGTCTTCAACATCTTCACGTTTCATGAAGTCTCCCATCCAGCTACTGACCACATGCAATCAAATACAGAGGACAAAAGCATCATATTTAGTGATACAGCTGCAGGTGCCCTCCTCACAAACTCACGTACCTTTTGTCCTTCAGAAATATCTCAAATGGTGTCATTTCTGGGTCAGCTTTGGAGATTTCGTCCTGGTCTTCTTCAGCACCATTCTTCTCCAGGTCCTGGGCCCCATTTTGTTTTAAAACTGTTTTAAATAAAAAGGCAACAGCCTTTTATGAACAGACAGCAAGGGCAGAGGAAGGGTAGCAAGCTTACAGTAGGTATTTCTGCTACTCTCTTGCCAGATGAAAACTCCTACCACAAGTTTCCACCTCTTTCCTATAGTAAGCAACTATTTTTCTTTAATTGTCATAGGTTAGGTAACACAAATACAATTTTAGGTTATTAAAACAGCAAGAGACAAGTGAAAACTAATCTACTAAACCTAATGAAGAGTTAGAACTGAAACAACAGTATAACTTTTTGCTGCTCTACTGAGCTGAATTCTTAATAAAATGTCAAAAGTATTTCCAGTCTGAACTGCATGCTGAATAGAATGCAATCACCTGAACAAATTGATTTTATTGAGATTTTGTTAGAGTAGACAGGCAACTCATCTGCATTCGATCATTCTACTTTCCATGCTGTCATCAGGCTCAGAGATTTAGATACCTTTTTTTTTTTTTTTAAACAATTGATCAAAAGAGGCTGGCAGCACTAATGCAGAAGATGTAGATTCTACATCTGGCTTTTCAGCAGTCTATCTTAAAAATAAAAAATCACCCCAATAATTTTGTAGGTTTGCATTTTTAGGTCTGTTCTTAAGCAGGAGATGTATCTGGAAACATCAATATTACTGTTCGCACAATCCATTTCTACTGAGTGTTAAACAGACACAGAACAAAGAGATTGTCTTTACACAGAATCTTATCATTTAAGAATAAGGTGAGACAACGTAAAGAACAAACAAAGGGAAGGGTTAAAAAAAAACAGCAGCAAGCACAAAGAAACAAGTTGTTCTGTTCTATTCAGCTGGTTTTGAATTATCCAGGCATGAAAAGCTGCTAGGTTTTACCCAGGAGGAAAAATGTAAAGTGTTCTTCTGTATTAAAAACATTTAGTAGGCCAAAACAAAATGGCTGCTCGAAACACATTTGATAGATGCTTTAACAGGTGATACACATGCTCCCATCTCACAGTGTAACGAGGTAATGAGTTATGAAGAACTCCTTTTTGTTTCGATATGAACTGATGAATGCAAGGACAGAGAGGAAAGCTGCTCGAAGAAATGGGATCCCTAACTTTTGTCAGCGAGAAAGAAGAAGGGACTTCAAAAATATATTATTAAAACAGACACATATTCAGTTAACTCTAGAGATCAAGTATCTTAGATCTCCACTTAACAGATCCAGCCTTCACTGCTAACAGTAACAGAAAATTTGCCAATGGTATCAAACAAAAACCCCTCTATTCAGTAAGTGTTTAAGAAATACTTGAGCATACTATGGCTAGTCAGACATTCAGATCCTAGGTTGAGGCCTCAAGCTTGCCTCAACAGGTTTCACACCAAAATACCCGAACTTCAAAAGCAACACTGGACAGTGGAATCCCAGTTTTTCCAGTGGTTACTGTGCTTATTTCACAAACAAAAACTCAAATATAGATTCCTCCAAAACATGAATTATGCTTGCCACAGTACTGGCTGATACAGTAAAAATTATAATGACCATCAAGAAGCCTACCTGCTGCTTCAGGATCTGGATGGCAGTCATAACTGAAAACCAAGGCACAGCCCCGCTCTGTCACTTGGAAGGGAAAGAAGCTCTCAAAAATGTCCACTCCCCTTTCAATGCACTCAAGCACCTCATCTGGTTTGCCTACACCATGGATGATTCTGGAAGAGACACACAAGATGACAAATCTAGAATATTCTGAGTAGAAGCAAGCAGGTACCTGAAGGAAAAGACATGTGCAGCATGTGTAGCTTATCCCTGCAACTGCTAACCAGAAGGCAAGTGGGTACAACAGTCATCACTCAGAATCCTGTGTGCTTCCATTTCCCCACCTCCAACCTATCCAGTACATGGCAGTCTTTTCTTTATCTGCCATTTGGAAGACAGCAATAATCCCTCATTTACTGCGGAAAAACCTCATTCTGTTCATTAAGTTTGAAGTGATTTAGTTTCTTTCACACATACACAAATACACTTAGATTCAAAATCCATCTAACATCTATGCCGTAGAACAGATATTTTCCTTAGTCATGTTTGTGCCCCAGGGAACTACCAGTTTCCAGATACATGGACCCCTTTGCTTGGTAACTATTTAGGAGACAGTCTAAAAAGACTTGATCAAGAGCAGCAGAGACAGCAGTAGACAGCTGGTCAAAGATACAAGTCCTTCAGGTGACAGAGACATCATATAGCACTTGGAGAACTGCCTGGAGGAGAATGCACTAATGAGAATGTCATTGGAAAGATAAAAGTTCCTTGCTTTATTCTTCCCTCCTCTTTACACTCTACCTGCTCTAATGATTTACCCAAAAACCTGGGCTGTAACATCTCCTGGGACATGGCATTAAGAGCCAGGAAAAGCCCAGCTGGATTGCCGTCAATAGAGATCCTACTGTTAGCCAAATTTAGCTGGCAGCTTCCCTGAGGGTGGGTGAAGCAGAAGATAATACAGCAGTGCCTGCTCTCCTGCAGGTGCATGGCTGGGCTGACAGCAGTAGAAGCTAATGTAGGGCAATGATCTAAACAGATAATTAGGAAAATACACAGGGGCTGATAAATGAAGTCACAAGGTGCCATTTTTAGTCACTTTGCTAAGTACTCCAATTAAACTGATGAGCACAGAATAAGGATGGGAGAAGTTTACAGCATGAGTGTCTTATGTTTCAGGCTCTCATGGCAGGGAGAAAATAATACGCAAGAGTTAAAACAGCAGCTCTGCATATATGATCAAAACCCTTGCTAAAACTTATCTTTGCACAGGTAAGGACAAACATTTGTTCTTGCAAGGGTTCTGATGCTGTTGAAAAGGAAAATAAATTTTACTGAGATGTCAGCATCTTTAGGTACATGAAAGGACTCTGAAGAGTACATTCATAAGATCATTTCACCATCACACAAAAAGCAGTCGCTTCTTGGGTGAAGCACAGAAAGTGTTTGTCTTCTAGAGAATTTCATATTGGGGTAGAACACAGCTTCTCCAGCCAGAAGAAAACAACTTCTCCAGCCAGAATGGCAAGGGTGATTCAGGAAAGCAGGACTGCCCGAAATTCACTTCAGGTACTTACAAGACCCCCCCTAGGGCTAACCAGCTTTCTTCCTACAGAGAGGTCAGAAACACTTGTCTCAAACAGACAAACTATTTGATAGATGAGGCAGATGCACTGGTAGCCACTAAGGTTAGCTGAGCAGATTGGACTCTAATGCTCCCAGGGGATCTTTTTGAGTAGCTCAACCAGACAGGATGGCAACAACATAGCAAGCCTTCTAATTGTCAGGAAAATTCAAACCCCAGGCACTGCTGAGCATGAACAAGCTGCAACACCAGACATAGGCTTTTGTATTTAATTTCGTTTTGAACACCATTAGGTCAGAGCAATGCTCAGCTAGCAGAGGGCAGCACAGCTACAGAAAAACAATGGGGCCCAAGTCACTCTCTTCAGGAAAAGATGAAAAAAGCACCCATACTACTTCTGTTGCAGCTGCTCTTGTAAGAGCAACCCATGCAAAAGCCAGCAAGCTCAACCCAATGCTAAGAAGCCCCTCCACTTCTGAACCACTAGCAAATATTAGCACACATTTTATGGAAGTCTTTAGTTACTGTTAGTCATTTATAAGAGTCAAGAATGCTGCCACTCCTGTCCAGTCTCTGGTATGGATCTGATGGGCATAACTAACAACTTGGAATACACAACGATCCCCACACTATGCCAGTCCAAGCAGAGAATACTGCTGTTTTGGGCTGGGCTGTACCACCTCTGGTAGTTCACAGGCTCAGTGCCTCGGGTGCAAGGTCAGAGCTGGCTGCCTAAGATCGTGTAAGCACTGCCTGGTTCTGTCAGCACCTCTTTCTGCTCTCCTCCAGTTCAGACCAGAGAGAACTGGAAACACGACAGTTTTTCTGAGAAGAGGTCCCTGTAAAATAGGTTAATAATAATGCTCTTGTTCAAGCTGAACTTCAAGTAAACCATGGCCTCAGGCCAAATGCAAGCAGCCCAGACATATCCTACCTGTAATTCTTCCTAAAAAAAGTAAAGACGACTTGAACTAAAATCCTGATCATTCTCCAAATGTGGGGAATGCTCAAATCCACAGCATGAGCACAGCTTGGTGCCAGTTGCAGCTAAAAATTAAAACAGGGGTTGAAGACTGCAGCCTGACAGTGGTAGAATTTATGCAACCTGGCACACACACAGAGCTGTGCAATACAGAGATTATTTCCTACAGTGATATTGCACAGCAGCCTGTAGATGCTCTTCATAATAGGACAGATGGACTTATTGGGATGTTGCCCACACAACTTACCTTGGTTTATCCTCTGGCAGCTCTGCTGTGACAGAAGCTATCAGCTTCAACTTGGTCTCCTTGGCCATGGCACATCCCTGGAAGCCATCTAGCAGAAAGCCACCCACAGGTCGTTTGGCAGTCTCCCTGGCTGATCTGAGCCTCTCTTCCAAGATCTCTCCACCTTCAATTGCCCCAAACATTACACTTCCTTGTAGTTCCTGGCCCAGGAGAAAGCTACAAGTGTTAGAGCATGCTCTGCCAAAGATACGCAAGACATCTCACAGCCCAGACTCCAGATGCCTGCTACTTAAGCCCTGCATTCCCAGGAACTTGCCAGAGCCACAGTGTTTCAATCCCATGTAAGACTATTCCCCACACAACACTGTGAAGCCCAAGTGTAAGGTAGAAACAGGATTAGGAGAGACAAGATTCTGCTCCTTACCTTGACACCAACTCACTGAGAATTTTGGTGCCATTCTTCCCACCTCCCTACAGAATGCAGTAACCACAGATCATCTTTGTACACAGCTTTTTATAGATGGCCCCTCAGCACTACATGTGTCAGTGCAGAACACAAAGCAGGTGCCGTTATCCTGGCTGTCAAGACACCAGATCTCACAATGAATTGCCTTTCAGGGGACACCAGTATCAGCTCCTGTCACCCGTTTTCCTTTGTAGTACTGACTCAGATAGTATGTCCCCTTTCACCAAAAGGGAGGGAAGTTTCAAAGCTGCTGGAAGAAATAAAGAATAGCACTGGCAAATTCTAGCAAGTCCTCCCTCACCTGGAACTGAGGGGACTTCAGTGCAAAAAGATGGGTTTTCTCAATCTCAATGAGACGATCCTACTTTGCCCATGTTTATAGCATGAAGATAACTGAAAGAAATGTACTACAGTCCAAAAACGGAAAAAAGTTTTTAAAAAATACTTCTCCTGAACGAGTAGAGATGGGTATCCTGGTGCAGGAGGCAAGTTATTAAAAGAGGAGAGCAGCAAAAGGAAAACCCACTGTGCTACTGGTTATACCTCATCCAGGACTGTCACCTGGGCATTCTCTGATACATATGGGTGACACTATTTCCTACTAAATCACATCCTGGGACTGGCCCAGGATGCAGCACAGACCAAAAAGCATCTGCAGTGCTATTGCCCCAATATTTTGGGGACCTTACCGGTGATTTTTCTAGCAGCTGAAGGCATACATCCAGGAAGGAAAGCGACCTATCCACAGACTTCTTGGCCCTTTTTATACCAACTTCCCCAGAAATGGTGTCTCCATCAGAGATGCACTGGAACCAGTCTGGCTGGATGGCCCGCTGTATGTCCATGAACTTGGAAGCTGTCATTTCCATGCGCCCTGAGCTTCCCCACAGGGACACTGTCTGTCAAGGAAGAACAGGGATGAATGTTAGTTGCAAAGGTTAAGAGATCTTAAGGGTCAAAGAAGAGAAAGAATTAATCTGATGAAACACCAGATACTGGAATGATACTTCATAGATAAGTTCTCCAGGAGCATGGCTCAGATAATCAGCTGCACTTGGCACAATGAGTGAAAGGAGATAAATGACTGAATTGGGATTTCTGGAATACTCTTTGGTCAAACCACCACACTCACCACAGTGACTTCTCCACATGTTTGTAAGTCTCTGAGATAGAGCAGCTGGCCTATCATCACCAAATTAGTGGCAGAATTGGAAAAAAAAATTAGAAAAAGAAAAGAAATAATTCCTATCAAAATTATGTTGTCATCTCATGAAAAGCAGCAAAGGCTACAATGGGAAATACAGCTCACTAGTTTTCTGTACACAGTGCAAAACCAAGAAACTGTTTCCTCTTCCGAGCAGTGAATTCATACCACCCATGTGAATATATGTGTATATATAAACCACACAGACACACTGGGAAGAATACAAAAGGTTGTTAGGCAATTTAATCTTAGAATCCAAAGTTATTGTAGGTCCTAAGTCCAGCCACTTAAGAAGGAATTGAAATACCAAGTGCAAAAGACATACACAGCCTTCAAACCAATCCACTGTAAGAAATGGCAGGTACTCATTAGGATTTCACACACAGTCTTCTCAGTCTCTTCACACGCTTTCCATTCTGTGTGTGCACACGGGCCCCATCTTCCATCGTTACTCCATGCTACCCTCAAAAGATTTTAAAGCAAGACAAAAGCACCTGCACAGAGAGGTTATGATACCTGAACACCTCTAGGCTAGCAGATGTCACCATTCAACTCACTAAACATTCAGATTCACAAAATGTTACTGCAGCCACTGCAACTATGCACGCTACCATGTTTCATCCTATTCTGCAGAATCTGTAATTAACCTGTGAGTGCAGCTTGGCAGTTGCTTTTGTTGTATTACTGTTAGACTTGTGACACTGCTGGTCCAAAATTTTAAAGGGGTGTTCAAGTAGGTTAAGTATTGGGCTCAAGCCCTTTAGAAGTTAGTTCTTTTCATCTGCAACTCCATTAGTGCTCTTCTAAAGGAGGAATGGTTTTCAGCTATCAGAAATAGCTTATAGCTTGAAGTGTTATGGGGACTTTTTGGGGCTTGAGGGTTTAAACACATTCTCCTAGCCTATGCCAGATAGATAGATTAAGCAGCACAGTTCACATGCATACTAATTCACAAATGGAATTTGATCAGCTGATGCAAAACATATGAGCAGAACTTTTTTTATGTCTGGTCTCCACAAGAAACAAAAGGATTCCACAAATACACCATGTCTGTTGTTCGTTCATCCATCCATCTCTCCTGATTACTTTTGGCCTCATCAGCCAATTTCACTAAATTTAACAAAGAAACAGACAGAAGTCTCCAAAGTAATAATTTTTTTGTAGGTTTCCCATTAAAAAAAAAAGTTTAACTCCGAAGGAGGGAGATCCCAAATTAGTACCTGCAGAATAACTGGAACACAGCAGCTATATGTTGTTCTGCCAGCAGCACATTGGCCAGTTAGTACCTGCTGCCTCTTATGTGAGAGCATCAAGGAACAGCTGGTGAAGGCAGGTAGAGGAAAGTCAGAACTGTTTGAGCCAAAGGGCACAGAGTGTAATCAAGTCTAGTTACCTTCATTCTGCTGTCCAGAGGAAAAAAGCTGATGCTTTAATAAATAAAATAGCCATGCAGCTCAGAGAACTGAGCGTTACCCTATGATTATTTAAATCCACCCTGTGCCAGGCTTTCTGGCACAGAATCCAGAGCTTCCTCTCCTATTGCTTTCAAAAGGCTTTCAGAAGTATTTGTCGGCACAGATACAGCACAGATCCAGCTGCAGAAGGCCTTGCAACAAGGTTACAAAAATCTTCACCAGCTTCAAGGAAAAAAAAAAAAGTCGAATCAAACCTGCAACACCCAGGCTTAGATCGCTGCCATCACCTCATAGCTGCACAACAGTGAGACAAGCTTCAGGTCATTCCTCCCCTGCAGAGAGACAGGACTCAGCCTGGTTCCCAGCAGCAAAGAATATACACTGATAGCTGGATGGCTGTAGTTATCCTCTGTCATTCAGTGACCTTTCACCAAATGTGACCGTACCCAAACAGGCCTTGGGACTGACCACATCTGAGGAGGTGCCAGGAGTGGCCCCTCCATGCCAAAGCTGTGGCAGGCAGAAGGTAGCGTGTGGATTGCACAGCGAATGTGTGTGCCTGTGGGATGGAACGGGCAAACATCCACAAAGCTACGCACTCCTGGATTGCTGAGCCACCTTCCTGCAGAAATATTAAGTTCTTCCCCTTTTGTGGGCCTGTAGCAGACTGTAAATACACACATAGGGCTTCAGGTTTATCGCTTATCAGTGGCATCACCGTAAGCTTGTACAGCATACAAGCTAAAACACATGTAAGTTCTTTCACTACACATTAACCGCAACAGCATGGGAGTCCAGAGCTCTCCTCTCTATCTGAATTACCACTTAGCTGTTCAGGAACTGTTCAGGGATTGCACTGCCAAGTAAGAAAGTGTCCAGTTTTGTTTAGTTGGAGGTATGAGCATGTAAATGACATTCCTCTTTGTGCAAAGATTTATTTTCCTGTAAAGCATAAAACCATCTTGTAGCTGTATAAGCACACCCACACAGATGAGGGGAGGACTGGCAGCTTTCTTTTGGGAGCTTTAAGTGGACCCTTTCAAATCTTTATAGTTACCGTACCTTGTTAGTGTTGTAGCCAGATGGACAGGGAGAGACCGGGTCATGAAGGGAGCAGTACAGCACCGCGTCTGGCATACCTGGGAACAGAGCGACAGATACAGATTAGAGTTTCATGAACCAAAACAAAGGTAATGCAAAGATGTGGTTTGGAAATTTGCAAAAGGGAAAGGGTATTCTCCCACACACAAGTACATCCATTCTGACAAAGGAAATATTGTTCATTTGATCTCTCAGCACCAAAGAGGGCAGACTTTTTCCCTAGCAGGGAGGAGAGTGCAGCATCAGGAGAAACCATCAAATAATACCCTTTGGTTCTGCGGCCTACGTAGCTCCTTTAAGATTTATATATGTTTCTTCTCAGATATAAACACAGGCTATGATACAGATATTCACACAAGATGCTAACCCTGCATTCTCTGTGCATTCAGGTTCCTTCACCACAAGAGTCTGACAACAAGTGATCTTGGCTGCATAATGCATGCAGTCAGGCCTTTACTGATCTGCTAAGACAACCAGAGGAAAAACCCAGGATAGTCACAAACACAGGAACTGCTGCTTTTCTCATTCTTATCACCAAGGTGTTAAGATAAAGATTTTGCTCAGGAACCGCTCCAAGAATGGAGTACAGGGACTGAAGATCACAAAGGCTTGGTGCAGTAGCTGAAAGCTATGGCAACACTGTATTGCATTTGACTATCCATAATTGAAATTGAGTTTATTCCTAAAACTGACTCTTAAGATGGAAAAATGGAAGGAGAATTACAAGGAGCAAGTACAGTCCGCATGCTAAACTGACAGGAACAAAGAACAAGGGAAAAAATCAGCTTCTCCACCTGCTTCTTCAGTTCCTCAAAGGTCACGCAAATCCAACATGGGTCCTTCCCCTAACATCCTCTGAAAGCAGGAATAGCTTGGAGGCAGGAGTGTCCACCAGCTGAGACTGATTTCACATGGACTGCTTTGCCTGTTTATTCTTCATACTGGATGAAGATTTCCTGTTGGAAATCTTTAGATGAGACCAACTATTTTATGAGAATGGAAACACTCAGCTTGAGCAGATAGATACTCTCAGGAAATGTATTTGAACAGCTGTATAGGGATGGCAATTTTCATGAGAATTTCTAATTCTCCTCATCAAAAGAAGTAAAAAATTGCATCTGGCAAGATTCATTTGCAGCAGTGACTGGGGGCTACAGTAAAACCTCTCTCAGTTCTAGTCTCAACTTCTGGGCTAAGCCCATCCCAGTCAGTGCTGAAGCCCCCAAGGAGAAGGCTGGGTGCAGAACAAGAGAAATAAAGGAAAACTACATGTTTTTGTAGCCTGTTTGAAGGATTTCTGACCATACTAGTGACAACATACCATTTCAAGTCTTCCTTAGTGCCACTTTGAGTGAGAAAATGCCTAAATGTGGAAAGCCTATGCCTACATCTTTCTCCCTAAAAATGCACCAGTGGGATCTACCTGTGTTATCTCTTCAGACATACAAGCAAAGACACACACTTTACCTATAAATTTTGCAGCTCCTTCTTTATATTCTTCCAGGACGTCATGAAGTTCTGCCCTGCATCCAGATACAGAAACACATTAACTAAGCAAACAACTGTCAAGGAAGAGCAGCGGTTTCATAACTAAGGCTTCTGTTTCCATACTTACGCATTGTCTGAACTTGGATTGGTTTAGGCACTGATAGTTGCCATCCAGCTATCAGGCAGCTAAGCAGGGACAGACGGAACTAAGCACCAGAGACGCAGAGCTCAAGAATCACAGCTTACCAACTGGGGCACTCATAATTCTGTGGCAAAAAGGCTGAGCTTTTACCCGCACGGACCGGTGACCGCTGACTTGCTGGAGAGCATGAAATCACGCTGTGACTTTCTGGGTAGCGTTACTAATGTGCATCACTCAACAACTACATAAGCTAGCGAGGAGAGAGCTTCTAACAAGCTTTAGGATGTTAGTCTTTCCTTTCGGTTGCCGCTTACCTAACCGGTTTCGAGAGTCGGCTGCTTCTAAAGCTGATTATTCTGCTGGGAAGATGACCGTGAAGCCGCTAAGGGGGGCTTGGCCAAAACACGCTCAAAAATCACGCAGCCCTCCAGGTCCCTCACCTCTACCTGCTTCCTCCTAAGCCACCGCACCTCCCTTCGACGGGCGAGCATCAAAGGGGCAACCGAATTCGACCTTTTGCCTTGCGCCCGGGGAAGCGAGAAGCCC